AAGAGGTGGGCGATGATGGTGGGGCCCACGGTGGAGTAGCTCGCCTCCCCCACCCCCACCAGCCCCCGTGTCAGTAGCAGCAGCCAGAAGTGCTGGGAAGATGCAGGGGCGGGGACAGTCAGTGCTGGGGGGGTACATCCCACCCGTGCTCCCCAAAAGTGGGTGCCCCCCTGCACCAACCTGCCGGGGCACGAAGCTGCTGGCAAGGGTGACAGTCGACCAGAGGGCGATGCCCACGCAGAGCAGGAGGCGCCGGGAGCTGCGGTCCCCCAGGAACCCGAACAACGGTGCCAGCACCATGTAGCTGCTGATGAACACTGCGGGGCGCGGGGGTGTGAGCGGGCGCAGGAGGGGTGCAGCCCTGCCCTTCCCCTGCCTCGGGAGTCGGGCTGCCCCCGCCCTCACCAGTCTGGAGGAGCCCGGAGCTGCCGTCCCCGATGCCGAAGTAGGCCTCGATCTCGGGCAGGACGCCTGTGGGCAGAAGAGGGGGGTGAGACGGGCAGCACCGGCCCGTGCCGCCCCTGGGCCCTTCGCCCTCCTGCGCCCCGCACGGCTCTTCAAGCAGCGTTCGCTCGGGGCACGCCGAGCTGCCCCAACTCCCCGAAGCCTTGTCTTCGCGAGGCCGCCCTCCGCGTACCCAGCCCCGCCAGCACGCGTGCCCCCAGCGCGCCATACCGGCCACGGTGAACCGGTCCATGTAGTTGAGCAGGTTGACGTAGCAGAGCACCGCCACCATGAGCCGGGCGCGGCGCCCCGACACCCCGGTGACGGCCGCCATCTCCGCCTCGCCCAGGGGGGCCGGCCCGCCGCCCCCCTCGTCCTGCTCCTCCTGCGGCCCCTCATCCTCTTCCTCGTCCTCCTCCGTGCGGTCGGCCCGGCTCAGGAAGGGCGCACTGTCGGGGTGGGGGGTGCGCCCATGGCGGGCGGAGGGGGCACAAGCGCGGCTGTGGCCTGAGGAGCAGTGCCCGCGCCCTCACGTGACCCGCGCCCCCACGCACCACGTGACCCGCAGATTTCCCCGACCTCACGTGACCCCAGGCTCCCCCAAGACCTCATGTGACGGCAGCGCCGCCACGTGACCCGGAAGCGCCCCCGTCGCCCCCTCGCACCCCAAGAGCCCACGTGACCCCTCCGCGGTGACGCAGCGCTCCCCGAACCCCGCCAACTCACGTGACCCTGCGGCTGCCTCCCGCCCCGTCACCGCCCACGTCACCTGACCCGGCAACGGCTGCAACGTCACGCCCGGCTCCGCCCCTTCCCCCTCCGATCCCTATGGCAACCGCAGGGATTTCCCCGCCACGCGTCACCCACCTGCTCCCTCGGTCACCATGGCAGCCATGGGGGATACCCCCTCCACCGCACTCCCGTCTCACGTCACCATGGTAACCAGAGACCACCGCAGCCCTCTGTGGTGCCCAGACTGAACTTTCTGCGCATGTGCAGTCAGGCGCGCGGGGCGGGGGGTCCGTGCATGTGCGCCTCAGATCAGCTTAGTGAGGTTCGACGCCTTCAACGCATATGCGGAGGACCGGCTTGATAAGGAGTGCATTCAGCGCATGCGCTTACTGTGACCGGGGACTGCAGTCAGACGAGCGGACGCCAGAGGGCAGCAGAGGGAGTCTCCAGATAGGGGGGACTAGCGCACAGGTACGAACAGCTGGGGCTGCGTATGCGTGCAGGAATTCACGTGGACTGCCTTTTTGCGCATGCGCGTGAGACTGCGTTAGGAAACTTCGACGTACGCACGGAGGAGCGGCCCGGGGGGGGGGCGGTGCTGACGGTCTTTCTACGCATGCGCCTACTCAGGGCTAGGGCTGCAGCGAAGCTAGTGGAGTCCAGAGGGCAGTAGAGAGTCCTAGAGCGCGGGCGGACAAGGTTTTTTTAGGTAATTCCGATACCTATTGTTAGACCGACTCACTTTTTATGTATTTATTATTTATTTTTCCAAGTACTTGAGTTGATCTAATAACAGATTTCGCCTTTACTCAAATAGCCTTGTCTGTCTATGTTCTTAGAGTAGAGCAACACAGCAACCTACACCTCGGGGGGGGTGGTATTTAGTGCGCGCAGATACAAGCAGGCCTGAGGGCAGTAGGGTTCTCTGCGCATGCGCCTAATTAGCCGCAGGGCTGCAGAGAAGCCAGCGGACGCCAGAAGGCAGTAGAGACAGGCCCTGGATTG